TTACTTAAAAAAACCATTCCAAAAACCTGATTAATACAATAAATTAAATTTGATTCTATCACAAATACTAATCCAATAAACGAACCATAATTAACTAACAATTAAATTAAAAAACACTCTGATCTAACATAATAAATTATTATTAAAAAAAAACTATTCCTAAGACCCCAATAAATAATAACAAATAAAATTTCTAACAAACACAATTCTTAAAATAAATGAAACTTCCCTCCCACAACATTAAAAATAAAAACAATTGCAATTTTATTCTATTATCATTATAAACCAATACCAACATAATCTATCCTTTTTCTATTACCAACACAAACCTAATGTACAAGCTCGCAAACTCGTTTGGCCGTTAGCAAGTCTTCCCAAGTATCAAAAGAGGAACGTGATGTTGTGGTGGACAGGACGATGGTAAAAGAAGAAGAAGGAGAAGAAGAAGAAGAAGAAGAAAAAGAAAAAGAAGAAGAAGAAGAATCAAAATAAAAACAAATAAAAGAAAAAGAAGAAGAGAAGCTACCAGCTAAAGTCTTTCTGTCTGATCTTTTGCTCCTACCGGCTTATACACTGACCTATATTTGCTGGAACCGGGTTTGCTGTAGTAGACCCACTACCCTGAAGAGGGAACAAGAACATACGACACCTTCGCATACTCGACACACATACACACATATTCCCTTTTACGTATTTATTCCAATACCATTGATTCTGATCATTTATTCCTACTTTTTAATTCAATATACTTTAACAATATTTTTATTAATCATAAATTCGATAATTATTTTTGTAATTTAATAATAAACAAATTACTATCTTTACGTATTATTTTTATAACAGAAATAAATCTATTAATTATTATACTTTTGTATATTATTATAATTTTGTATTTTATTTATTTATAATATATTTATATAAAATAATATAAAAATAATTTATAATTATAATAAAATAATATATAAATAATATATTTAATATTTATATATATATAATTTGCATTGTATTATTATATTATTAATATATTGTATGTGTTAATATTCTTTTGTATCTTTTATTATTATAATTTAGTATCATATTTAACAATAAAATATAATATTAGGTTAGAACAAGTAAATGATTGCAAATTTTGTCTATAGGTGGCTTTTTAAACGACCTAACTAACCTATAAAAGTAATATTACTTATCATTATTTAATCTAAATGTTATTATATTATCACTGACAACCATATTTCCTCACCTTTACTGTATAAACATTTTCAATTGGATTAAATATTCTGAAAAAGGAAAAAACATGAAAATAATAAGTTACATAATTGTCGTGCAATTGCATGAAAATATTGCATTTGATATGAAGATAATTGTTAGACTAGAAAATGATTGAAAAGTGTATAATGATATTAAAATATTTCTAATCTCTTTCTAACTTGATGACTTTCTAACTTGATTGCAGTTAATAATTATTAAATCTTATTTCTCATTCACGTCAACATGCTTATTATGAATAATTATAAAAAATGTTTACTTTAATAATATCTTTATTTTATTGGATTCGATCTCTTAATATTGGGATTTAACTCGAACAAATAATCACACGTTGTCACGAATGTATGTGTCAGAAAAATAAATATATATATATATATATATATATATATGTATTTCCCTTCTCACCCCTTTATTTTGCCTTCACTTTCTTTACTTCCCTAACTCTTGTAATTCAAAAACTTGATACTTTTATTTTGATTTCATCGTTACACGTCGTTTACGTTTCTTCGATGGTAATTAACAACACCGAATAAATGAGATTAAAATCACGAATACCACGAACCAATTATGGTATTCTTGCCGAATTCGCATGATTTAACCCCCACCCTATCCATTATCTCATCTCATTCTGTACAGGTATAATTAAAGGAGAAATTTAATTAACGTAAGTATGAATTTGAAACTTTATTTTTAAAAACAACAAAATTTCAAGTTGATTAACTGGTTTTTATTTTATTTTAAGAAAATCAATGGTTCATTGCGTAGATGTTGATATGTGTAAGAAAAATATGTAAAAAAAATTTAATGGAAGGGTTTTTAGTCGAAATTTTAAATGATTTTGAGGTTAGGAATTAGTTTGAGTTCTTGGTAAATTAATTTTTGAAATAATCTAATAAGTAAATTAATAAATAAATAAAATTTGTTAAAAGAATAAACATAATATGTATAATTTTCACAAATATTTCATTAACAATTATTAGTTATATAATAAAAGATAATATTTAATATATATAATTAGTATATTATATAGTATTTGGTAATTAGGCTCTTCAGTTAGACTTTTAAATGATTTTGAGGTTAGTAATACATTTGGATTATTAGTAAATTAATAAATAAATATAATTTGTTGAAATACGATAATTCTAACAAACATTTCATTGACAATTATTATTTATATAATAAAAACAATAATAATAAATAATTATTATATTATATACTACTTAATAAACATACTAACATTATTAATTGCAAGTACAAAAAAAGAAATGAAAAAATCATTAATAATTTATAAATTATTATAACAATACATACATTACACATACTTTATAATATTATGTATATGTACGAGCACGTGTGTTTTTGTAATAAATACTTTTACTAGAAATATCTTGCCAACATGCTTTTAAGATAACTCAAACTTTGTTTCTGAAATGTATATGTATAAAAAGAAGGGTGCATTTGTGTCTGTATATGTATGAGAAAGAAAGAGAGAGAGAGAGAGAGAGAGAGAGAGGATGAATATCGTGCTTAATAACTTCTACACGCACGTACAAAGCTTTTACTTTGGATAGTTCGGATAATGGAAACGACTTCCATTATCGATAATTTTATCCTCCTCCGGAAAAGATAAGTGACTATACCGGTGACATAAACTATACATTTTTAAAGAGTACTCTTTACTCTTTTCTTTCTTTTTCTAACCCTTTTTTTAAATAATTATTATAATCATTTTTTGTTTTTTAATATATTTTTATATTTTTATATCGAAAATAAATGATATATTAATTACCAAGTATAAAAATCAGATAACACTCACACATGTGAAATGTATGAAAACAACAACAACAACACACACACACACATATATATAGGGAAACGTCACGCACACAAGTACTGGCATAAATTTGCATTAGATTGATTGATTAAAAAGTGAACGTACGTATTTATGGAAAAATTTAAATAGGTGGGATCAATTCGTATTAAAACGTGTTCTCGAATAAATTGTCTGACTATGATAATAATCAATCTGTCACTGAGAAATCAAAAAAAAAAAAAAAATATCAAAATACGTGATATTAAATTGTTATTATATAGGAACCAATTAAAACTGACACAAGTTAAAACAAAAATACCATTTTAAATGTAACGTAATAAATATGATTTTTAAATAATATAATTTTACGATCTGAGATAAGTAGATAAGTTGAAGGAAATAATCTGACAGGAAGGATAATAATAATATCATACGCGTTGCATAATTTGTCAAACGTTCATAATAATAATAATAATTAAGTTCGACAGATATAAATAGAAGAAGTAGGGAATAAAAAATAAAAAGAATTGACAATGGGGAAAAAGGTGTTGAAATATTTAATCGAGAAGGTTGGAAAGTGTCCTAGTTTCCAGTAAGCTGCATTAACGTCAAAGCCCTATCGAATGAATAAAAAAAAAATGAAAGTAACTTAATGTAGAATAAGTAAATTCTTGTGTGTCAAAGAACAAAAAAAGAAAAGATAAAAAATATTGAAAAATGTGTTCACGTTGAAATCAAATTAGATTTCATTTTCAACTGCAACATCATTTTCATCTTCATCTTCTTCTATCTCTCTCTCTCTCTCTCTCTCTCATTAGCACTCCTGACCCTATCAGTTGGCAAATGATGGCAACAATTACGATGACTATTACTAAGAAGAAGAAGAAGAAAAAGAAATAGAAGGAGGAGGAGGAGGTGGAAAGTGGTGGGGGAAAGTTGAGAAAGTAAAGGGTCGGTGAATGCAGCTGCAAATGAAAGGAGGTACCAGCCAATCCCAATGTCGTTTGCACAGGGTTGCTAGTTTTATGAAAGATGCAAAGAATCGTTGAATGAAGAACGACCACTATGTTGGTTTACGTGGATATCGAGGACGTTGAGAAAGATAAGATGTAAGATAGAAAGAGAAAGATAGAGCTTTGATCAAAGATACTCATGCTTCGTTTACTTTCCCTCAAACATATATTGTATATATATATATGTGTCTATGTTTATGTGTGGGTATGTTAGAGACTACTCTTTTGACTAAATCCATTCCTTTCTCTTCTTCATCTTCTTTTTCTTCTTCATCATCGTCTTCCTTTTCTTTCTCTACAAAACCTTCGATAAATATATCATAGAAGTAAATTAGGTAAACTGGAAGAAAAATTTCCAACACTGGTTCAAAAGAAACATTACTATTGAGATCCTTTAGTATGGAAAGGAAAAAAAAATCAAGATCTCGCAATATTGCGCAAGATAATATTAGTATACGTCATATATATTTATTTATGTGGATTTGGTCTGAAATATACATCATTATATATCGATAAGTTTTGTTTTTCCCCATAGATTATGCACTTAGATGAAAACATTGCTAAGAATTTATTAGTTAATTGATATAAGAAGAAATATGTTTAAAGATAATCAAGAGTTGAAAATCAGAGCAAACAAACCGACTGTGATTTTTGTAGGTTAATGGGGTGTAATCCATTAGGATTGTCAATATTATAATTGATATATAATTACATAAACTTACCAGTTTTATTGGTGTAAGAATATGTTTAAAGATAATTATGTGGAATATTTAACCTAAAGTTAACGATGAAGCATTGAAACAGCTAGACCAACAGTGATTCTTGGTTAGAATCATTTTGGATCCATAGATTTGATAGGTTTGTAGTTCATTAGGATTGTCTCAATATAATATAATTGATAAACTTACCGGTTTATTGGGTAATGCAGATGTAGATGGAGCTATTGTCCGATCTGTCGAAGAAGGATGATGATCGTTATCGTAATCGTCGCGAATATGTCTAATGTTAGCGTAACTCTCCCTGAAGTCTCTGGGATCCCTGAGGTCCCTGTGATCTCTTAGGTCCCTTAGGTCGCGTGGATCGCGTAGGTCGCGTAAATCTCGTTGTTCGCGAGAATCAGCTCGCAAATCGCAGCGGCTCACGTGGTCCCGTTCACCGCGAGGCTGCCTCGACATCGCCGTGGGCTCCTCCTCCTCCTCCGAGTCGAGCAGCAGCTGCTCGACTCCTCCACCACCAACTCCCCCGCCTCCTCCTCCTCCGACTCCGACGCCGCCACCTCCGCCAACCCCGCCACCTCCAACAGCAGCACCAACTCCGCGTCGGGCGGGATGACGCCGGAGGTCACACCATCCTACCTCCTCCTCCCCCGCCCCTCCAGCGAGCTCGCCACGGGACAACCGAGCCGTGCCTGGACCCCTCACGACAAATCTACCTTTGACCTCCTGCCCCCGCAGGACTTGCCGGGGGCCTCAACCACATCACACTTATACCACCCCTTTAAATCACCAACAACTTTTACCCCTCACCTGTCACCCGTTCTTTTACCAATTCACACTATTTAATTAAATATATCTAACGACACTCTCTTATCTGTTATTCCTTTATCACTCGATGATGAATATTTTCTTTCCGAAATGATTTATTATTAAATTATTCTCGGAATTCTCCCGAATTCTCTCGGAACGTTTTTATTTTTATCTAACAACCCTCTCCCTTTCTACTATGTTAGATTCCTGATGGAAGGTGGGTGTCTTCTTTTTGCGAAGTCCCTTTTTCTGTGAACACAATTTGATTTAATTATAATAGGTTATGTGTTTAGATATAATCGATTTATTCGTATAACAGTTCACGATCTACTATCGGAGATATTTATTCCGATGTTTACATTTCTTTTATATTTTTCTTCTTATAATACAATGTTAATTATTATTATTATTATTATTATTATTTGGATTTGAAATTAGTGAATTTGTCCTAGTATTATGAATCTAATGTTAGATCGTATAAAATCTTGTTATAAACCAGTCATACATACATATGTATATGAAAATGAAATATGTATAGATATATTCTATACGTGTATGTATCTCAGTATGTGTATCTCGGTGTGTGGTGTCTTGAATCGGCGCGTAAAAGAGCCGACGTATAACGTTACATAAAGGTCAACGTATCTTCGATACGTTATATCACGTCGTTCGCCGACCTCGACCGTCGAGGTAGAATTCCGAAGCATTACAACCGACTTGGAAGGTGAAAAGCATATCCTTCTCGTTCGTGCTGACAGTGCTTGTTATGCGATCTCATTGGTGTAAGAAAGAAAGACAAATAAATAAAGTAACATGTATATTAAAGATTAAAACGGAAATATCGTCTCTCTCTCTTTCACTCCTTTTATTTTATTTTTGATCTAATTTTTTTCTTTTTACTCCCCCCACTTGTACAAGGTCGTACAATAAACTTTCATAACCTTAAAAGAATACATTGATGAAGATAATGAGAAGGAAATGAATAAATTCAATACAATTTTAATATTAAATAGTATTATTGGAATAGGTATTGAAAGCTCAGGCGGCCAAGGTATAGCAAGTTGAGGTTAGGTCACGCCGCAGAACACGAATGTAGGGCTGTGGGTCGCGCCCGGTCGAGCTCAGCTGCGCTTAGAACCTCTAAGGGGTTACAAGGACCAATCGGATGTAACGGTAGAAAGAAAGAGTAAGACAGACAAGAAAAAAAATGAAAATATATATAAAAAGCATCAATTCTTTTTCCTATACTCGACCAATCGTCATTTCCCATTAGGATTACAAAAATAATGTCAATTTTAAGATAGTAGAACGTGTCTGTTGAATTTAATCAACGATGAATATGTTTAAATATAAAATTAGGTTAACTTTTATATAAGAAATATTGAAAACTTACTGTCTCTAAATTTCTTTTCCACAACGTTGTGAAAATTAGTCTTCTCACGTTAACAGAAAGGACCAACCCCCAAATCACTCGTCAAAAATGTTGTCACAAATGTTGTATACCGCACGGATGACAACAATAAAAAAAAAGGACAAATTAACCCGGACGGATGTACTTTAACGCGTTTTACACGAATTAATTACCTCGTTTATCACCGCAGATTGATAAACCCGACGATTTAAAGCGAGGAAGAGTAGAGAAAAATAAAATTGATAAGGGATGATGGGACAAGGGATGTTAGAGGGGAAGGGGGAAAAATGAAGAAGAAGATGAAGATGAAAGGAAACTAACGGGAGAGAAAAAAATAATTGTGGATCCTGTTTTGTTTTAAACAACAAAATCACCCACGATATAAAAAAAAAGAAAAGGAAAAGAAGGGAAATTAGGTTAGGTGAAAAAAGGAAAAGAAAATGACGAATCTTCTCGAATAATAAAACAAAAAATAATTGACAGTTAGTAACAAACACCAAAAAACCGCACCACTGACGATAATCAAACTTGAAACTCGTCAAAATGAAGAATTCCTTATTCCGATAGGACAAATGATTGAAAAGGGATGAGTGTCAAAACGTGAATGACAAAACGATAGTGAGAACGTGTGAGAACGTGTATGAGTAAGTGAGACAGAGAGAGAGAGAAAGAGAGACAGAAAGATAAAAGGAAAGTACGAGAACGATAACGATTGTGCGATAATGATTAGGATGATTAAAAGTAAGGTAAAAAAGAAAAAAAAAATTGTTCGTTAAGGGGAAAAAGGCAGGTATTTAAAAAAGCAAAGACGACGACGAGGTCGACGATAGTGTGTTAGGGGCCGTGTTTCGCGTCGTCGACGAGGTGCTGTTGGATCCCCGACGAGAGCGTTACCTCGGCCCCTAGACGTCGGCAGCCCTCGTCTCAGCTCGGTTTAACTCGTCTCCGGCGCCGTGACGTCACGCGATTGGGGACGCCAGGAAAAGCCCGGGGCGGTCTCTTTTATCGATTGGATGCGCGAGCGCACGCGAGCACTAGGTACAAGCGCATATTAACGTGCGCAAAAACCCCTTTACTTTACCTTACCTTACATTACCTTACTTTTACCCACCGCACCACCTAACCTTACTATTTATATTTTTATATATGTCTTCTTGTTAACTCCTCTTATATCCTATATTTATATCTAGATCTATTTAATCTATCTATTTGTATTATTTATTTAAAAATTTATTGTATTATCTTAAGTTACATTTTATTACTGTATCACACCTAACCTAACTAATTTTATTTTTTTATATAGGTTTTGTTTTTATATCCTATGTACACATATTTATATTCATTTAATCTATCCATTATTTATTTAAAAATTATTATATTTTTTTATATTACTTTTTACTACCTTATAACCTAACCTAACTATTTTTATTTTTTATATACGTCTTGTTAACTATCTTATATCCTATATATATATACGTTTAATCAATCTATTATTTATCTGAAAACTATTATATTTTCATACGTTACTTTTTACTACCTTACAACCTAACCTAATTATTTATGTTTTTTATATACGTTTTGTTATATTGTTAACTTTATGATATCCTATATATATATTTATATATCTATACTATGTATTGGATTTAATCTATCTATCTATTTATCTATTTCTGTGTTCATTATTCTCTTATTTACTCGCACGATTATTCGTATTCTCAGTTTCGTTTCTTTTCATTTCATTTTCTTTACTTATCTCGTTCTCGTTTACACTTACGTTTGAATACCAACACGACACGTGGCTGTGATTTTTTTTTTCTATTTCATCTTTTTGCCAATTTGTATTCTTATTTTGTCTATTGATTTTCGATGACTTATAGTACACATTGTTTTCATTTCATTCTTTTTAATTTAATTCTAATAAAAATTCAAATACAATTAAAAAAAAGAGAGACTCAACTTAAAAAATATTCTTAAATAATTCAAAATCTTATAATATCCAAATTACAAACAAAAGAAAAATCGATAACCTCCAGTAGAAAATCTCGTATTGAAAACATAAAAAAAAACCGGTCGCCATTTACGTCACGTGTTAACAACGTTAATAAGTTGAACAAATATTGTAACTAATTCGAAATAAAAAAAAAGAAAATAAAAAATAACCATCAACACGATCGTTTTATTGAAAAACAAAAAAGAAAGAAAAAGTGTGAGTGACTATAATAAGAGTGGGTGGGGGTTAACTGTAAGTACAATGAACTTTCTTTTACAAAGAAACCTTCCCTCATCAATTTGTATGTTAATTGTAAAAGAACGACTTTTCGGGGAATTAGTAATCGTAAAAATTTCAATTGAAATAACTTGCTTCATCCCCTCCTCCTCCTCCTCCTTCTTCTTCTTCTCCACCTTCTCCTCCTACTCTTCTTTTTTCTCTTTTCACCACCTCCTTTACCATCTCTTATACAGTCGAAGCCATTTTATCACGTAGCACGTGTTGGAATGTTATCGCGGATTTCATTACACGTAAGTACTTTTCGAACGATAACATCACCGCGTTTCCGCTAATTACGTTGTTTACCAGAAAGTAGTCATTAAGATTAAACAACGTTTCTATATATATATATATGCCTGTATATACATATAAATATGTTAAGTATAGATTTGAACTAGGAACCTGTGTAAAAAAAAAAAATAAAAAAATAGAAGAAAAACGAGTCATATGTACGCATACACATACATAGAGATTGAAAGAGAGAAACAGATACAAGAACACGTGCATACATACATATGTACATTAAACATATGTATATCAAACACATTCGTGATTACTTTTCCAGTAATCGATCGAGAATTCGTTGACTGATTACGTTATTGCGACGTTTCCATATTTTAACAGGTTAATCGAACGAAATAATTTCATGCAACCCATTATACCATACAACTTTTCTTTGTATATATATATATATATATATATATGCATAAATATTATAAATTTAATCCAAAGAATTGTATGTGTGTATGTGTGTGTATGTGTGTGTGTTTCTATCAGGACCTGTTTAATATCAAAATTCATAAGTTACATATGTACATTCCCGTAATGAATTATCCACCCATTTTCCTATTTACCAAAACTAATTTATCAAATCGGTTCAAGTATTGTTATATTTAAAAGTCGTTTTGCAATTCATATCAATATCGTGGTCGTTGTTATTTTAATTATGATCGATGAGAATCAAATTACATGTTAAATCATTTTATTAATTATTTTAATTATCATTTGGAAAATTTAACCAATTAAATGTTTATATTAAAAGGTCCATATATAAATTTAATTTAAAAAAAAAAAAAACAGTAAAGTTTCGTATATAAACATTGAAAATAAGAGCTTTTGAAATTGGAATGTCGAACGTTAGTCCTGCCATCTGACGGAGGGTTGTAGAATTAATAGGAAAGAAAGCTGTACGTGAGAAATAAAGTAGAAATTTCGTGTTCGTGTTAAAACAAGAAAGCTATTGCCCTCTGGCTGTGCTTTTACCGACCAACAGTGAAAGAGCTTTTCAGGTACGATAAACCTTAACTACGATGATTTTAAGCTTCCTTTGAAAATATATTATTGAATTAATTGTGCATCGTCTTTGGATAAAGCTGCATTCTCTCGAGAAACAATTACTAATGTTCACCTTGCATGTACGTGTAAATCAAAGAAACAAAAAAAAAAGGATACTTCGTGTGACGAATTTAAATCCTTTTCGATCGATCAATCGATCGAATAAAACAAATCAAATGTTTATTTGTTTAATTGATTATTAAATATATTTCATTTTTATACAAATAGTTTATTTAAGGGAATAATTATTTGTAATCGTAATGTTGTTTTGTTGAAAATAGGTTATGAAATGAATTACTAAAGATAAGTGGCTCCCTCTAAAATAAAAATATATATATGTATAATTTGTGAACTATAAGTAATATCCGTGATTACGGAAAGATTTGCACGTGTTTTCAAAGGATTATTTCTATTTGTTCATACACATATATATAAATAAATTAAAATATCAAATAATACGACGAATTGATCTACGAAAATTTTAAATTAATAAAAGAAAATAATAAAAATTATTCTAATACTTAAATAATTCGTAAAAAAACAAAAAATCATAAAACTTCGAGACATTTCTCGAAGTATTTCTTGTAATACGTTCGTAAAAATAAATCCGGAAAGTAACAAAAAAAATAACTCAACATAAATCCCAAGATATTTTCGAAAACTCCCAAAGGAATTTCAACGAACACCAAAAAGTTGTTCACTTATTAGTTCCACTTTTCTCTCCTTTAATTTTGTGTTTCTAAAAAACGTCCTCTCAAATCAAAATCTCAATAACACCTGTATTCTAACGCAGGTAGGTAGACATTTCTAAACAACAATAGTTTTTTTTTATACAGAAGATGATCCGGTCAAGTAAAGAAAAAAAATGATCGTTCGTTGTTGAAAAGTGTACAATACTTCTACGTGGTCCGTAGGGTGCACAGGTCCATTTCCTTTTCTATCTTCCCCAAAATATTTCTTAAAAATATATCAAACGTGTTTATGTACATACTGACACATCCTAACAATAATATCACAAAAAGTATATATTTCATCTAGTAAAACATCTCAACTATATTTTCTATTATTTACTAACGATAAATTTCAAACAGTACGACCCTGAAAATAAATTCCAGATTTTTTCCGAAGCATCGAAAGCAAGGTTAGAAGGGGATGGTGCGGCATGTGTTCACCAAAGAAACAAAATTTAAAATATTACACGTAGGAGGAAGGGTAAGGTAAATGTGACCTGAATTTTCACTTTTATACCTTTTATTCTTATCAAAAGTGTATTATTTTCACTTACGTTAAACCATTGAACCAAAAATACGTAAACCAACATTAAAAAATAAAATGGGGGTGGTATTCAGCACATGTTGAAATCATTTTCATAGTATCATCGGAATCTGAAACTTAAACTCAAACTTTATTTCATTCTAATTCAATCAGCTTCTCTCACTCTCTCACACTTATACTCGTCTTATTCACAAGCTAAGAGAATAGTGTAAACCATACAGTAAAGTTGTGTTAGCGTGACGAGAGAGTGAGAGAGAAGAAAAGAAGTGGGGAGGGTTGGTTTAACGCGTATGCCGAAGTAAACGAACAAATAAGAGAGAGAGAGAGAGAGAATGAGTGAGTAAAATTAGGAGAGGGGATAGAAGAGGATTGGGTATAGTAATCGTAAGAGAGGACAGTGGAGGAGAGTGTAGTAAAAAGGTAGCGGTGGGGAGGGAGACAAGTAGTAAGAGGAGGGGAGTAGACTGCGAGTAGGAAGAGTAGAGCAATAGCAAGTATAAAGTTTGGAGTGGGGGTAGTAAAATGGTAGGTTAGAGTGGGAGGTATACATATATACGTATATATAGTATACAGTGAGAAGAGTGCAATAGGTGTGAGAGAGAGAGAGAAAAGGATAGTTAAGTGAAGAGGAGGGGAAGCGGGTAAGGTTGGGTGGGGGGTAAGAGCCTGCCGAAAGCACAGAGAGCGCCCCATAATTCGGTGTGCCGCTTTGCAGTAAGGTTCGCGTTCCAATGTTCAATGTTCTTTCGAACCGGGATTGAGTGGTACATGTGAACTGGATAGGAACCGCTAAAGTAGTATTAGTATACCGTGAGGAAGAAGAAGAATAACAACCAGTGCATTTACTCACAGAGATTTCTATTAATATTTCTGTTTTCTTTTTCGTACGTAATTATAATTATATTTACATATATATGTTATAACAAATTGACGATAAATCAATTTATTATCATTAGTCTTGATCGAAAGGTTATTAAAATTATTGACGAGTTAAAAAAAAAAGGGAGGGGGAAAAATTTTAATAACAACAACAATAATAAATTTGAAAATTAATGTTAGAATTAAATTAGATTAGGAGTGAGGGGATAAGGAAGGAGAGGGATGATAGATTTGAAAAAAAAGAGATACACACACCGATTGTGAGAAAGTAGTTGGTTGGTTGGTTGGTTGAGTGTGCGCCAGCCGCGTCCCGTCGTCGGGTAAAAGCCAGGATCGTTCGGTTGGTTCCGTTCAGTATGTGCCGGTACTTCTCATCGTACGCGTTTACTGCAATTCGTTCGTGTTATTGCTGTCGTTACCGGTTGCTTCATTTGGTTGGTTGGTTGATTGATTGATTGATTGATTGATTGATCGGTTGGTTTGATCGTTTATGGTTTTTAATTTAGTTTGTTTATTTTGATTTTTATTATCGATTCTCATATTGTTGTTATTATTATTATTATTATTATTATTATTATTATTGGGATTTTTAGTCAATTTATACCTTATTCATCATTTTTTCCTTGGATCATCATTTTAGATGATACTACGAATTATCAGGGATATTCATTTGCAACTTAAGTCGATGATCCATGTGCATTTCAAGGACGTTAGAAGCCTTAACACGTTTTAGTAATTTCTGACGAAGACTAATAACACGGAAGAAAGAAAGAAGAAAGTAAAGATAATAAAAAATGATCATTGTGTTACTTAAAAATTCATCGTCATCGTCATCATCATCGTCAGCGTACAATTATCATCCTAAATTGAGAACAGTTTGATTGAAGACAAGTGGAGAAAAAAAGAATAGACGATATTTCTCAAGAGACATTAGCGAATAAAAATAAATCAAAAAAGAACAACAATAACAACAACAAGGGGAAAGGACACAAATCAGAGAAAGTGCGATATCTTCAGTTAGAAAAAAAAAAACAAACTTCTCTCATCATCATCCCCCTCCTGTTCTTTTGCTTCTGCTTCTACTTGTTCTTCTGCTTCAACATCAATAAGCAAAAGTTAGTGGAATATATTTTCAATCAATTATTAGTGATAATTATTATTATTATTACTACACTACTACCAACAACTACTATTTATACTGGTACCATATATCATCCACGTTTTAAAAATGTATAAGACGTTATTAGGAATTACGTATGGATGCCTAGCGATGGTAATGATGGTGATGTCGATCTACGCTTTGTATAATATCATTTCATTGAAGAACTTTTTGTTTAAAAATAAGTGCAACCGCAAACATTACAGGCGATATCATCGACGACCAAACAGATTCTTCTTCCAGAGATTCTAAAAACAATTCATCGTCAGATTCACGTAAATATTTAACACAAAATTACACATATCTTAATTACACTTTTTTTTTTATTTCTTTTTTTAACATCATACACGTGGTTACTAATACACACACATACACGTATATATACATATATATAATCGTTAAAATTAATGCATGCATTTTTATTTATTTATTTTTGTTCATTTTCTATAAAATATTTGATATAAGCGTGTAATGCAGGTAACGTTTGCCACGAGTATATGAGAATCCCCCCCCCTAAACGCACACATACATATGTACACATGTATATCTATATAAATACATAGATATGTGCATACATGCATACATACATACATATATACATATATACATACATACATACATACATACATACGTGCAGATATATATATATATATTTCTATGCTGCTCTGATTATTAACGAGTTATTACCGCGATACTAATTAAGTTTAATCGCAAGGCCGCCCGTTCGTTAAAGTTAATTGCAGTATCGACCACGGCCCACGTCGTTAATTGCGCCGTCCTGTTCGTTGCTGCTCGAACGACGCGCGCTTTTATGGAAGTTTGCCGATCCGATCGCAAATACTCTCTATAAAGGCAAATACTTCTTTCTATCTCATTCTAACAACACTTTTTCCATAAATGAAAACCGGTATAATACTACACATCTATATTATTTCTAACAAATATATTATTCTAATTCTTCTAGTTTCTTTTTCTTTTTTTTTATTTAGGACACAATTAGTGAAATAACTGTAATTTTAGTTGGTTTTTTTTTTTATTGCACACATTTCTGTTTTTAGTATTTGAATTACGATTTATATTATTATTAATATATTTTATTGTTACAGTTTTTTTTTTTTTATTTAGAACACATTTAGTGAAGTAACTGCAATTTCAGTTAGTTTTTTTCTAATTATTTGAATTGGGATCGGTTAACCTAAAACAAAATACAATACTTTTTCATAGACAAATATTATTCTTAACAAATATATTATATCATAATTTTTTTTTTCTATTTTTGATACAATTAGTGAAGTAACTGCAATTTCAATTTTATTTTTTATTTCACACAGATTTTTCTTAGATTTGAATTAGGATTGATTAACTTCAGACAAAATGAAATATTTTTTCATACAGTAATTATAAATCATAATTTTGTTTTTTCTATTTCTGATACAACTAGTGAAATAACTGCAATTTCACTATTAATATTTTTATTNTCTGATACAACTAGTGAAATAACTGCAATTTCACTATTAATATTTTTATTGCACTCGTCTTATTTTTAGATTTGAATTACGATCGGTTAACTTGAGACAAGTTCGATTACCGATTTCTAATCTTCAGTCTAATCCTCTTTCTTCTTCTTCTTCTTCTTCTTCTTCTTTTTCTTCTTCTTCTTCTTCTTCTTCTTCTTCATCTTCTAACGGCATCTTCTTATTCCTCTTCTTATTCTTTTTTAGATCTTAACTATAATAATAGTCATTTCAAAGTTGCAGCTGCACGCTCACATTAGTCCCTTGCAACCGGTCACGATCCAATGCTTTGTTGTTACCGTATATATACTTTCAATGTGTATGTATATCTATATATATATCTAGCTAGTACATTTAATACCAAAAGGCAGGATTTATGGGTACATCTATTGGTTTATACCCTAAAGTCCCTATCGATTTCTATTTTAAATTTTACCCAAACAAAAATTCCTTCTTTTAATCTTTACGAACACTTTCTTCAACCCCTTACATTTGATTTTGTTCTAAATCAAAGATAAACATCCGATTCAGAACAAAAAAAAAATCAATTACACTAAAAGTATTTAATTTATAATTGAAATTAAATACAACCCCCACCCCAATATATAAATACCCCCACCCTAAAAAATTTATTCAATATTTTTTTCCTTTAAATAATTTTACATCAAAATGCAACAAACACACAGATGAACCAAAGATAAACATCTGATCTAAAATTAAAAAAAAAAAAAAAATACAAACCAATTATAACTAAAAGTATTTAATTTAATTTGAATTTAATAATTTTTTATTTAATTAAAATTAAATACTATCCCCTTTCGATATATGTATTCCCCCACTCTAAACAACAAACTATTAAATATTATTTTTTAAAATAATTTTACATAAAAATCGTATGTAAAACAATTTTATTTTTCGTTTGTGTTTTTGTTCATATTCGCGTTCAAAATTGTATTTTCATTAATTATTAATACAAAAAACAAAATATTGTTGAGCATTTTCGTTGTAAAAAAAAAAACCTTTATTTGTTTTTCTTTTTTCTTTTTTTTTTTTTTTTGTTGTTGTTTTCTTATTAGTGAGTTTTAGTCGTATTCGATCAAGAAAGTTTGTAGACAGTTTCAGTAGCCATTACGAGAAGCACGCATATTCGTACTCTGCGTGCGTCGAGCGTGATCAATAAATCGGCCTGTGCAGTACTAACACATAGTAATAGTCCTTTTAGTATACATATACGCTCGTAGCTTGCTTCATACTTTTGTGTAAGAGTCAGAATATATATTTTCTATGTGTGTACGTGTCTATATATGTATCTATAATACATATGTGTGTTAAAGAGAATAAGTCAGTGACTAAACGCCAATCTAAAAGCGGAAGAACATCGAACTTTTCTATACAATGAACTTTAAGTAAGAATTATTGTTCAAATTTGATTGAAAATTAATTTACATATAAATAAATAAATAAATAAATAAATAAATAATCTGATGAAAATCATATTACAAAGTATAGAAATAAAATTTGTACGATTTTTAAGTATATTTTTGACTTTTTCTTTTCGTTTCTTTTTTTTTCGAAACAAATTCGAAAACAAATTATTCGTACTTGCGTCACGTACGTTATTATTAAATTTTGTTTTTATCTTCTTTCTATCTCTGTCTTTCTTTCTCTCTTTTATTTCTAATCAATATACGCTCAGTTTCAGTTAAATGTTTATTAAATTTTTATGCGAATTTTCTTCTTTCTTTTATTTTATTTTTTATTTTTTTTTTTCATTACTTTATTATCATTCTCTTTTTCTTTCCTTTTCCTTATTCAATTTTTTCATAAATTTTAATTAGAATTTCTTCTAATATTATAAAAATAATTTTTTACAAACTTTAATTATAGATAATCTAATCATAAGTATCTAAATTTTATAATTGTTCAAATATATATACTAATATTTAAAAAAAATATCACTATAATATAATAATAATTTTGCATTTAGTTAAAGTATATACTTAAGATTATACTCAGATAATTTTTATTATAATAAAAGTATAATATAAAAGTATTGGATAAAAAAATTATAATAAATATAATTTTTTTTATAATTTATATATATATATATATATATATATATATATATATATATTTATTATTTAAATTATAAATTGTTAATTTATAAATTTTATTTTAAGTTTTCAAATATAATTCATATAAATACAAATAAATATCATTTTTATTGAAATTATAATTTTATATAATTTAATTTTAATTCAATTAAAATTATAGTCAAATAATTTTAATTATTATTTAATATATAATTATTTAATAATTAGATAATTTTAATTATCTAAATATAATTTTAAAAACATAATATTTTGTCTAATTATCAAATTGTTCATATAGATTCATCGTTCGTGAACATCTATGAACATCTATTATAAAAATAAATTAGAAAAAAAAAATGAGAAAATATATACATATATATATATGTGTGTGTGTGTATTTATCCATTAGAAGTTAACAGTAAAACAACACACAATACAATACACAACACAAGTATATACCGCCTTCACTTTCTCTCCTACTCCAAAAGCCTCGTATTGGCTATCGTTTTAGTGAGAGCTTCCCGTCGACTTTTTGATAAATTCGATATGAAACTTCCTGAATATTAGACAGAGACAGAAAAAGAAATAATGTGAGAATGTCAGAGAAAGAGTGGAAGAGAGAAAGAGAGAAAGAGATAGATAGAAACATTTATGACATTAATGTAATGCACACGTGTATTATATGCAGACGTTTAATAATACGTTTTACGTGACGTATCGGACTGATTGATTTAATAATCTTTCTATATATTCACACATACATGTATATATATGTACATATATTCCTCTTCCATTCATTGGAAATTATAATTTTAACGAAGAAAAAAGATTTAAAAAAATATTTTAATAGAACACACATATTATCATTTTTTTTTTTTTTCATTATTTTTATTCATCGAATTTTTTATCTTATTTCATTCTTCTGTTTTTTTTTTTTTTTATTATTTTAATTTGCTTATTTGTTATATAATATTATCTAACATTTATATTACTTTTATTAATTAAAATATATATATATATATATATTATTATAATTATATTATATATAATTATTTTGTTAATTTTAATTTATATTACTAATTTATTTTAATTATATTTAAATTTAACAAAGTATAATTTATATATAATTTTATATAATTATATAATTTTGACCTTATAATTATATATAATCATTTTTTTATATTTTAATTTATATTACTAATTTATTTAATTTATATTTAAATTTAACAAAATATAATTTATATATAATATTATATAATTATATAATTTTGACCTCTTATTATTATATTATATATTATAATAAAAATAATAATTATATATATGTGTATAATATGGTCACACGTGGCAAG